TGTGTCCTGTCTTAACTATTATTTTGAAGCCATATGCTTCATTATCCAATTCCAATTAAGTATTGAAAGCATAATAATCACTGGAATTTGCTCGTTAAAATGGCACACATTACTGTTATACTTCAGTGTGTTAACCTTTAGGTTCACAACTATGATCCTCACAAATTGAATCTTTGAGCTTAACTGGGCTGCTAGAACAAATAGCAAGGAAACCATTGAGGATGTGAAATAATCATGAGTCAAGTCAGAGTCTTGCTTATTTTTTATTTGCTCTGGGAGAAAAGGACCACAAAATACAAAGCTCCACTAAACATAAAAAACTGTATTCACCAAATTATTAAGAAGATGAGGACAGTACATATTATATCATTCTCACATAAGACTGACATCACCATTTAATTTCTTTTGTTAAAGAGCCAACTTTCTGAAGCAACTCCCCGAGAGACACATAGTTTTCAAGACTTGTAAAAATCCAATTAAAATGCCAAGTGTGGAATAGAAACATAAATAAGCTCCCAGCATCAATAATGACAGCATGCCTTGGTTGATGGCTAAACAAGAAACTTCTCCTCCATAAACTATAATGGTATGGGAGACCAGAACAGAATAAAATGATTAAAAGGTTGAAACACATCAGCATTCTTACAGCAAAAAAAAAGCAGAAATGAGTAAATAAGCACTATTTGGATACGATATTACTAGTAAAAGGTTTTTGCTTCTTTGGATCTTAGGCATCGAAAATGATAACAATACCATAGCATATGACTATTGAATATTACTTTTTTAAAACACTTCAGAAATATTAGTTGAAGTCCAAATATTTAACTGAGCATGCATGACAACCTTTGACCCATAAGTAGTACCAGTTAAATTTGTAATTTCTAAAGTACTACAGAACCTGTAATTCATTTTTTAGATGTTTGAAAATGGTAGCAGCCATGTGGTAAAACACAAAAGAAAGATGAAGTCAAAAGCCAACTGTAACAGGAGGGAAAACAGAGAAGGCACATTTATGAGGAGCTGTGGTTGTAATACACAAACAGGCCAGAAAAACAGTGTTACAGCAGAGGTTATGAAGTAGATTGTCTTAAGGCTGCTGTTTCAGTTTTGCCAGAACTGACCACACCTTTGTATAAGATTTATTGAAGCAGTCCAATAAAGGCATTTCTGGGGCATCTGTGCCATAAAGACTATTATGAATATTGCCAAGGAAATTCTGCAGGAGTGTATCATTCAAGTGACCACCGTCTCCCCGGACCTCGGATTGAGCGTGACTGACAATGAATGCAAAGTGAGAAATCGCCTGCACCAGATATCAAGTTAAAGAAATTTGGAACTGCATGTGGTACTATATTTGTTCAGAGTGTGATGCAGGTACTTCTGATTATGCAAGTCATAGTTTTGTTGAATCAACTATTTAAAGAGAAATTTACTTTTCATTTGAAGTATCATTTGCCTGTTCATTCATGTGTAATTTGTGCTAAAGTAAAAACTCCAAGAGTTGAAATCTTATTGATATTTTCTTGATTTTGGGGTCATTTAGTAAATTTGGTTCTTTAACTTTATTCACCTATGGGAAATTGTGGTGTAGCTTCATAAACACAGCTGTACTTGTATGAAGCACAAAGAGATATCAAATTAGAATTATAGTGTGCAAGTGAAAACACAACTCTATTTTATGCTGCAGTGAATGGCGTGATGCAATAGGAATTATGCTCCTCCTGAACTAGAAATCACTCCTCCAACACTCCAATGCATAAGTCTACAACATAAAGCCTCAAATCAGAACATTGCCAAATCACAAGTGCAGTATCTTTATTCATCATATTTCTCAATTTGATAGCAGGTGCTAACTTTCATCATCATTCACCATGATAATTAAGCAGTAAAGAAAATCTCTACATCTCATCACAGAAAACATATGGATTGAAATAATGTGTTCAATAAAACAATGCATGCTCATTTATCTCAGACACATTATCTTAATGAACAGAAAACAGTAACAGGAATATGCCAATTGACCCTTTGAGCCTCTTCTGCCATTCAATTTGATCAGGGCTGATCATCCTACTCAGTATCATATTCCTGCTTTCACCCCATATACTTTGATCCCTTTAGTTCTAAGAATTATATCTGACTCCTTCTTGAAAACATTCAATGTTTTGGCCTCAACCACGTTCTTGGGCAGAGAATTCCACCGTGTCAGTGTCAACACAGCGTGGAGCTGGAGGAACATAGCAGTTCAGGCAGCATCAGAGGAGCAGGGAAGTTGACATTTTGAATCAGGACCCTTCATGAGACCAGTTCTGATGAAGGGTCTCGACCCGAAACATCGACTTTCCAGTTCCCCTGATGTTGCCTGACCCGCTATGTTCGTCCAGCTCCATACGGTGTTGACTCTGACTCCAACATTTGTAGTTCTTGCTATCTCTGAATTCCACAGGGTCATCACTCTCTGGGTGAAGAAATTTCTCCTCACCTTAGTTCTAAATAACCTACTCATATCCTTAGACTGTGACCCTGGTTCTGGATTTTACTTTTTGTCCTGATGACCAGGGAGTCAGGACCAAAAAAGTTAGCTTATGCTACTTTCGGGTTGTACAGTTTTTAGCAGTTTTTGTTGGTTTGTGTTGTGCATCATGTAAGTTTTGTTTTTTGCATCAATTATAGATGTCATCCGAAGACCACAGTGCATACTTTGCAGTGAGCAATCAGCTATTGTTATGTCCAACAGCAATTTGGGAATGCCTCATCTTCCTGCTGTAGCTGTCATATAATGGGAGCACAGTAAAAATTACAAGTGTTGATACACCAATGCTGTACCTCAGCATCCCAAACAAAAAAGGTATTTCCATGACTCTCAAGTTATGCTGTGAAGAACATTTCAAATGGTGAGAGGCTGTTCATCCCAGATAACATCAATGTACATGTCCAGACAGATAGTAATTCATGCCCAACAAGCTTCAGGTGTCATGGGGTGTGCAGGATCAATGATAAATGGTCAACATTTTCTTTAACTCTGTGCCATAAATAAACTCCATTACCAGCAGCTTCTTTCAAGGCAGAAATAGTCACTCAAGATGAACAGTGGGACCAACAACGCCTGCTCATTAAGAGAAGACACATTCTGTGCACTCTTCACACCCGCATTTACCACAGATTGTGACACCGAACACTCTTGTGTCAGTACATCAAAACATGATGACTTGTACTTGTAACAATGCCAATCCCAGCACTTTTCTCTGTTGGTCAAACTGCCACCCAGCAAAGGTTTACCAAGTGCTAATGTTGGTTTTAATTAAGCTTTGAAGTAACAAGGTTCAACCATCTATGAAACAGCAGAAGTATCATTGGCAAGGCCAAACACTGCTAAGAATGGTTTGACACCTGTGTTGTGTATTGTTTACACAGTTATACATTAAGTGAGGCAGAAATTAAAATAGTGTTTCAAAGTAGTTTGAAACGTAAAGCAGCCGAGAGATAATGGTACATATTCATTTAGTAGTAACTGCTGATATTGGGTAACATGTTTAAGAAACTTAATTGATTTGTTTTATGTAGTTCCTTGTTTTTCATTAATAGCTTTTCAGAAGTGACTACATTAAAGCAAAAATACACGATTAACAGAATGTAGTTACTTGAGCCAAACAAGTATAATGTACACTTTTAATATGCACCATAAACAACTTTTAATTTTAGTAATAGACATACACAGTGATAAAAACAATTTACATAGAATAGATTAATGGATGCATGTATAGCGGGTGTGTAGCTGTTCTGCACTTTAAATTAGAAGTACACGTTAAAGATTACCCAGACCTGGGCTAAGAACCAATTACTCAATAAACATGTTATATGCAATGAGAGATGATCACAGGAGTCTAGAATGTATTTCTAGGAACAATGATTGAAACATAAAGAAAACTAAACATATGCATTATACTCGGTTTTGGTCCCTGTACATCATGCAGAATTTCAGTATTCTTAAGAAAGTGCAGTGCACCGCAATCATTATTTAAAAAAAAAATCTTAGAAATCAATTTGGGCAAAGAGAAATATCTTTTGCCTTTAGAAAAAGACCAGTTTAGAGGAGTTGTGATTGAGATATTTTAAAACTGAGGAATTCAATTGCAGCCTGTGTAGAAATGGGTAAGTCATACTTGTAAAGAATTGAATTTTCAAAAATTAAAACTACATTTACTGTGAAAATGATGGGTGGCAGGCATTCCTCTATTTTCATTGTTTTTGAGTAGTATCAAGTGTCATGTCAGATAATGTCTTGGCCTCTCTACCTCCATGCACTCAATAATCATTGAAGGAATGGTACTGCAAATTAATTATTACAAGTTCATAATATGATAATCTAACTCACAAAAAACTGCTATTAAACAGACATCAGTCTAGATATTCATTTAACTTTTCATCCAGATTACACATTTTAGGCAATTAATTTTGGCAATTACAAACTTTGCCACAGCACACAAACAAAAATTGCAATGTTGCAGTACTTAGAGAACATAGGAACCTACTTTGAACTACTGCTAACTCTTGCCATTTCAGAATCTCTTTTTGATAATCAGATTCAGAAAATAAAATAGAATCAGAATTAGTTGACAGTAAGTTTCATTAGGAACTAGAGCTATAAATTTCAACAGTTTAATCCTTTCACTAACAACTTGTATCTATGAATGTCTTCAGTACTAAACTAAGTTTTAGGTATTATGAGTAGAGCTTTAAAATTGTTCTTTGTGTATCAAATTTAAATCATTAAAAAATCTTTGCTTAAATACTTAATTACATCTGTTTCGTCCATTTTGTCCAAGAACACAATAAAAAACAACACTGCAATCTGGATTATAGGTCTATACTATATAGACTTCATATTAATCCAACATTAGTATAGATCAGTGTGTATGTCAGCAATTAATTCAACAAAATAGGGCATAATCCACAAACTAGTATAGAAACCAATGTTCTCTTTTAACTTTTCAGTTTTGCTGTAAGTAACCTGGTTCAGCATAGTATAGTGCAATGTTAAACAAAACCAAGAAGCCTGTGTCATTTTGTTTTAAGAGAATGCTGTTACCCAAAACAAATATGAAACTACTGCGCACGAAAGAGTCTGATAAACAGAGGGTCCTTGCCCCTAAAACAATTCATTTAGGATTGACCCCTTAGTACAATGACCTGTTGGGAAAGGATATGAAAATCTTGTCTGTCAGCTAAAATGTGATGCTTGTCACAATCCAGAAGCTAATGTTAAGTTCAATGTTTGTGTAATATTCTCTGTTGTCTCACCTTAGAATACAGAAGCAAGTTTTGGCCCCAGAAGATAAGCGACAGAATCCAAACCTCTGCTTGCTGTCAATGTCAGTGAGTACAAATGTAAAGTTCTGGCCAACTTGGCTGACTGTAAGGCTGAAAGAAGAACAAAGCAGGAGTGTATTTTCAACTGACCATTAGATAAAGATGTCTAATCAAATCATGTCATTGAACCAGCATAGCTGAATTCCAGTCAGAGATTTTCCCAAAAACTTCTGCAAGTAGTGATATTGAAAAGTTACAAATGTTTCATTTTTTAATATTATGTTAATTATACAGTGGAGGAAATTGCTATAAATACAGGACATCTATAAAAGAGTATTTTATCAATTTCTTTTAAGAAAATTATGTCATTATAACTTGCATATACTGCATCAAAATATATTGATTCTTTAGCAATAGTATAACAATTGCAACAGAGACCACAGCAATGTTGCAAGCTTGATATTGTGTATACATTATTCTGCATTATCTAGTTTCCTCATATACACAATCAACTATCAACAAAAAAGACAGCAAACTAGGCCAAGTTACAAAATAGCCCATGAATTTGAAATGTTCAGGTTTTTTTTTCCTTGTGTTGCATATGCAGAAGTGAATGTAATACTTGTCAATATGCTGCCTAATAGGTCGATTCTATACATTAGCTGAGGATCAATTGATGGCATTCTCACCTCCAAGTCAGAATATTCAGAGTTGAAGTCAACGCCAGGGTTTCAGCGCAAAAATAAAGCCTAACACTCCAACACAACACTCAATGAGTGCTGCACTGTCAGAGCTGCTACCTTTCAAAGGAGACATTAAATCCCATCACCTAATCGACTGCATGTAAAACATTCTATAACTCACATTATCAGTCAATCATCATCACAGAAAGGTTATCTAGGTATGATTATACTGCTGTTCATGGAAGCCTACATTGTGTAAATTGCATGTTGTGCTTCTTACTGTAACAGTAAAAACACTTCAAAAGGTACTTCATTGGTTGCATAACTTTGAAATATCTGGTGCTCATGCAGCATCCTATACAAGTCTAAGTATTTCTTTCCTCCTATTATGGCAATTCACACAGTGACATTTGGGATATGGGTTTTGATGGCTTAGCCACCATTTATTGCCTACATCTAAGTGCCCTGGAGAGAAATTGATGGTGAACTGCATTTTTGGACCACTGCAGCCCTCAGGGTGCAGGGACACTGACAGTGTTGATAGGAGGGAGTTGACAGGCTGTTCACCCAGGAACTGAAATTTGTATTAAAACCAAGTTTCTCAGTTTTATTCATCTACTTTATCTACACTTCTCCATTGCATTTTCTGGTTTGATGAATTTTTATTCCCGTTATTACTTTTTCTTCTTTATTGATTTTGTTTTATGCCTCTAGCTTCTGATATTCTGTTCTTAACATTATTTAATTGTACTTCTTATTTCAGATTTCTGCTTCTTTTATGTTTTAAGCTCTGCATCATTTTTGCATCTACGCTCTGTCTCACAACTTCCAATGTTATGCACCTTGGGTTAAAACTGTCAATGCAGATGCTGCTTGCAGACTGCTGCCAGAATACTGCAACATCAATACTACAAACCCATCTAAAAATTAGTCTTCAGTTATATTAGAAATGACAGACAAGTGCCAAAGTCAAACTAACATTTTTGTGTTTCTTTGCTTAATGTCAAAGTTAGTTCAAACAATTACAACACAAAGATTCATTACCTGCCCAATTTGAGATAGTCACACATTTAATACATACCTGTTCATGGAAGTGTTATATTCACTTTTTGATGCTAGTTATATGGGCCACAACATAATCCTAATTTAGCTTCCAAGGTTTTCAATCAGTTCATTTCATCAAAGCACTATCTCAGATAATCAGAAATACACAGTAGTTAGAAATTTCCAAATTGTATGTACAGTACTAACAGCACACTGTTTTGCCTGTGCATTTCTCTAAAGGGCCTTTAATTTTATTATCTATTCATTTATGGGAAATGGGCATCAGCAGCAAGGCCAACATTTAATGTCCATTTCTAACTGCCCGTGAGCTGCAGTACTGTCAGGAGGACTTTCTAAGATTATGACAATGAAGGAACAGCAATAAATTTCCAAGTCTTCATTGTGAGATATTTGGAGGGTAACTTTCAAGTGGTGTAGCTTCCATGTGTCTGCTTTCCTTGTCCTTCTAATTTTAGTGGAAGTTAAACATTTGGGATGAGCTATCAAAGAGACCTTCTGTAGTGACTGTAACGAGGTCAGCCAGGTGGACATCATAGTATAGGAGCTCACTGATTAGACCAGATTAACAGCCCCAATCAGGGAATCCTGGCTGACAGATGAGAACAGGAGTATCAGACATCCTGTCAGGGTCTGAGGGAGGTGGACAGTGTCAATGATTCTCCACGTGCAAATAAAGGGTGACTTGGTAAAAAGCGAAAGAACTGCAGATGCTGTAAATGAGGAACAAAAACAAAGTTGCTGGAAAAGCTCAACAGGTCTGGCAGCATCTGTGAAGGTAAAAACAGAGTTAACATTTCAGGTCCGGTGACCCTTCCTCAGAACTCTGACTTGGAGACGGGATACCAGCTTCTGTAGAGTTATTTCAGTGGCAATAACGGAAAAGCAGGCTTGCAATAGTAGTCTTTGACTTGGGGTAAGCATTTTTGACATCATGTCATTATTTGCGAAGCTTGAGTTGCTCGATCCTGCTGTTGAAGGCTGGGCCCAGTATATGGGAAGTTCATATATACACAAAGCTTCATGAAGGTGGTCATGAGCCATACGTGCTTCCAACTGCATTTAAATGAGGATTCCCAAAAGTATGCTAGATTTAATACCCATAAGGGTTTGTACCAATATATGAGACTATGATTTGGGGTATCAAAACCCAAGCAATTTTTCAGCTGATGATGGAGAACATTTTACACTGTCTGCATGAGGTCACCATTTATCTAGATGATATGCTAATAACAGGGAATGCGTACAGAACTTGGACACAGTTGTTTCTCCTCAGCAGGTGTAGAAGGGAAAAAGATGTGTTCCAGGCACCCCAAATGACCTACTTGGGCTACAAAGTCGACCACACCGGGTTACACCACTGGAAAAGAAAGTGAGGGCGTCTGTACCAGAGCTTAGGTCTTTCCTTGGACTAGTGAACTATTATGGGAAGTTCAACAATAACCCAGCTTCGATCCTGGCATTCCCTGCATCAACTCTTTAAAAAAAAAAAGTCATAGCTTTCAAGGAAGATAAGAAACAGCTATTGTTGCTAAGGGGTTAACACACCATGATCGCAAGCAAGATCTGGTATTGACACGTGACGCCTCCCCGTACAGCATCAGGGTAGTAATATTAGCTCATAGGTGGCCTAATGGAGAGGAGCACCCAATAGCATATGCATCCAGGACTTTGGGTAATGCAGAGCGTAAATCTGCCCAGATACAGAAGGAAGGTTTGGTCGTCATATTTGGAGTCAGGAAGTTCCATCAATACTTCTACGGACATAAATTTGTAGTAATAACCGATCACAAACCCTGCTAGGGCTAATTAAAGAGAACAAGGTAGTGTCACCCATTGCTTCAGGCTGAATTCAACAGTTGGATTTAACACCAAGTGCATGTAATTACAAGTTAGAACACTATCAGGGAGGCCAAATAGCGAATGCGGATGCATTGAGCCGCCTCCCACTGGCAGATACACCACTGGTGGCACTGCCACTGGAAGAGTCTGTAATGGTCTTAAGTGTTCTGGACACACTTCCAGTCAGAGCTACAATATCAGACTTCGAACGCAGAAAGATCCATTCCTGGCAAAACTGAAACAGTTGGTGGTGATCGGGGAAACCAAAGGACAATCATGACCAGAATCAAAACCTTTCTGGACCCCCAGAGACCAGATCACAGTAGAGGGCGGCACGGTGGCTCAGTGGTAAGCACTGCTGCCTCACAGCACCAGGGACCCGGGTTTGATGTGGAGTTTGCACATTCTCCCAGTGTCTGCGTGGGTTTCCTCCGGGTGCTCCGGTTTCCTCCCACAGGCCAAAGATGTGCAGGCTATGTGGACTGGCCATGCTAAATTGCCTGTAGTGTTCAGGGATGTGTAGATTAGGTGGGTTATAGGGGGATGGGTCAGCGTGGACTTGTTGGGCTGAAGGGCCCGTTTCCACACTGTAGGGATTCTATTCTATTCTAAGTTATTATGGGGAGCTAGAGTGACTGTCCCGAGCAAAGGTTGCCACCAGATACTAGCTGAACCCCACCAGGGTCATCCAGAGTTTCCAAAATGAAGATGGCGGCAAGAAGTCATCTGGTGGCCAAGATTGGATACATCCCACAGGCACACCTTTGCTACTTTACCCCAGTGTTATTTGAACCCCATTAGCTCCGCATACCTCCAACACCTCCAGTGTGTAAAAAGCTCTTGAGATAAAGGACCTCCCCAGGTTTATTAGCTCCTCCACTTCTAGGGATGTTTTGTCCCCTCTCTCTCAATTTTCCATTTTGTGCACCCTTTCCCTTTACCCTACCATTCAGCTGCCTCGCCATCTGCAACTCCCCCTTAAAATCAGCCTTAAGCCTCCCATTTTGAACAATATTTTCCTTTTTGTCCCCTCATTCCTTTATATCTTTGATGTACAATAGGGTTTTTGTTTCTGTATTAAAGATTCTACATCAATACAAATTGCAGTGTTTTGTATTGGGGAAAGAAGCAATTGATATTTTAAACACATCAAAGCTCTCTCAAGCAAAGTACTGCTGAAATGATTCAATACAATGCTCCACTATATACAGAAGGAACTTTTTTGACAAAGAACAAATTCAAACACTTGCCAAGAACAAAGGTTTAATAAATTAATGCAAAGCATTAAATGGAAATATTGGAAGCATTTTTTGAGCTATGATTTCATTACTCCTGTGGTAACTGCGAGTTGCTGATCAAGTTGTGTTGGACTCCAAAAGCTGAGCTATAACAGTTGCTGACAAACTCAGCATTTAAGTAAATGAAGTAGTGTGAATTTTGTGGATTGAGCTCACAGATACTCACGAAACATGCCAGAAAAAGTTAATTTTAATTTTAACTTAGAATTAAATTTATATAAATTTA